ATCATGGTTAACTCGACTAATTCAACAATTACTTGCTTCATCCTTTTTTCCCGCCGCACACATGCGCACATGAACACTAACACATAGATTCATATTTAGATGTATGTATGTATATGTTGTGCACTTGAGTATACCCAGCCTTCTTGTAACTGTAAATTTATTAATAACAAAACTAATTGTATGTAAAGGGTTCGCGTAAAAAGCGTCTGGTTCAAGTTTAATTAGAATACATGTAAACAAAATTGTTATTATTATTCGACGCTGTTTCCTTAGTAATCCTTATTTTGCTTTTAAAAAAGTTAATTAGCTGCGAAGTTAATGTTTAAATTAACATATTATTAACTGTTTACGTACAATTCCTCAGTTTGTTTCGAAAATCGAGAAAAACACCTTTAAATATTTTTCCAATTTACTTAAAGTATTTGTGTTATTAACGAATTATATAAATACTAATTGCAAGTATTTGTTGATGGTTTGTAATGTCGCAAACCCTTGCAAAACTTCTCACACTTACAACTTCACAAATAGTTCTCAAAAGCTATTCAAAGATGATCAATTTATGCAATTAAATAAACAAAATATGTTCACAGCGATTGACTCCAGTGTCCCTTGATCCTTATAGAGGATGAGGCATGTGATATAGTATTTTTATTTATCTTTTTTGTATTGTTAATTGATGATATCTTCCCAGTATACAAAGAGACTTCAACAGTGCGTTAAGCGACGAACCCGAATGTCTCTATTCTTTTTTCCTTTATTTGCGCAACTTTAATCAATATTTCGTTTTGTCTAAAGTTCGCCTTTGCTTACTAAAGAAAGGTAATAATAGGCAACTCTCTATAATGAAACTCTTTATTAGATAAATCTCTCTATAAGGTTAACATTGCCTGTTTCACAACTAGTTGGTCGTTGATATTAGTGTTTGAAATGTATCTCAGAAACAGAAACCTAACTGTTTTTATAAATTTATCTACTTCTAAAGTAACTCTCTCTCTATTACGAATAACTCCTTTATAATTAAAGAATTATATAAATACTAATTGCAAGCATTTGTTGATGGTTTGTAATGTCGCAAACCCTTGCAAAACTTCTCACACTTACAACTTCACGAATAGTTCTGAAATGGTGTTCAAAGATGATCAATTTATGCAATTAAATAAACAAAATATGTTCTCAGCGATTGACTCCGGTGTCCCTTGATCCTTATAGAGGATGAAACATGTGATATAGTACTTTTATTTGTCATTTTTTCGTTCTTAATTGATAATATGTTCGCAGTATACGGAGAGACTTCAACAGTGCGTTAAGCGACAAACCCGAATGTCTCTATTCTTTTTTTCGTTTATTTGCGCAACTTTAATCAATATTTCGTTTTGTGTAAAGTTTGCCTTTGCTTACTAAAGAAAGGTTTAAAGTGTCAACTCTCTATTATGAAACTCTTTATTAGATAAATCTCTCTATAAGGTTAACATTGCCTGTTTCACAACTAATTGGTCGTTGATATTAGTGTTTGAAATGTATCTCAGAAACAGAATCCTAACTGTTTTTATAAAACTATCTACCTCTAAAGTAACTCTATCTTTATTACGAATGACTCCTTTATAATGTTCCCTTTATTAAAGTTTGATTACTTTGTCTAATTATCTTATTACTTAGTTACTTATACTGAACATTCTCTAGTTTTGTTATGCAATAAACATAATAGTACCTTAATTTTTATGAACTGAAGGTTCGTCTTCAACTAGGAACGTAACGTAAGAAGGTAGATAATTTATAAATGTCCCATTTATTATCGTTGCTTAAGAAGATGAACGTTCAATGTTTGTTTCTTCTGTTGATTTCTAATTTATTTCCATAAATGTTCATGTGTTGCATGAAATATACACTTTTTGTGACAGCAGCGATAATAAATGATAACGGAAGTAATATCTGTTTAACATAAATAAGAAATTTTCAATTTTCACCTTGAATTACATAGATGCATGGACGTGTGCTAGTTTATAGTGCCGCAACCCTTTGCAAAACTTTTCACATTTATAGATTAACAATTAATTCTCAAATGAATGTGTATGATCCTAGTGTTCCTTGGGTATTATAAAGGATAGGGCATGTGATTTAGGACTTTTATTTGCTAGTTTTTCGTTGTTAATAGATAATATGTTCGCAATGTACAAGGAGACATCAACAGTGCGTTAAGCGACGAACCCGAATTTCTCTTTATTCTTTTTTCTTTATTTATGTAACATTAGTCACTGTAATGTTTTGTCTAAATGATGCCTTTACTGCCTGAAGAGGGGTTTAGAGTGCCAACTCTCTATAATGAAATTGTATATCAGATAAACCCCCTATAACGTATAAACTATCTGTTTTAAAATTGATACAATATTGGTTTCAGTGTTTAAAATTTACTGCAGAAACAAATAAAGACCTAAGTGTTTTTATAAACGTGTTGAATGTTGAAACGTATTTTTCACATGTTGATTTCTAATTTATTTTGTTTTAGTATGTGTATGTCACAAGAAATATACATTTTTGTGTAACAGCATTGATAATAAATGATAACGGAAGTGATGTCTGTTGATCATAAATAAGAAATTTTCAATTTTCACCTTGGATTATGTACGTGGATGTATGCTACGTTTAGGTGCATAGACTGTAATTTATACGATTTCTATTTCTCTAATTACGTATCTGTATCCATATAATTAATTGACATGGTATATTATCAAATTAATTTAGCGTAAATAACAGAAAGTATATTCAGGAAAACGTTTCGAAAATATTTATGTAAAATATGAAAATAGTTTTAGGGAAATCAATGTCAAAAGGGGAGGAATCATTAACAACACCTAAGTTTCGTCCTTGTTAGTCATCTTCAGGGTAGATTGTTGGTTATTTATTGTAAGCTTTTATATAAATGATTAATTAACTAATAGTTTACCCTGATATTAAAAACGAAACGTAAGGTTTCTTTGTGATATTATATTATCCTTTCTCCCTTATTTGGCTTTGATTTTTATACGATAAATAAATTGGATGAAAATGTTAATTCTCATTATGAAAATTCGTGATGCAGGTATGTAGTTTTTAGTTAATCGATATTTTTCATTCCGATTTAGCCCAAATCCGAAACCTTGCCGTTATTGCATTCTTCAAATGCCGGTAAAGATATCGTAGTGACATTCCGACAAGAAGTTGTTAATTACGATTTATTTATTATTGTGGAACATACATAATTATTTGAAATTATTCATCATTTATAAAGCATTGCTAATATAACCGTTTATCTGCCTACGATCGAAATTGTCCGTTTGCAAATTTATTGTTATAGCACATGCATTACAGTTTTCATTAACTGTATCTGTTTGTAGTATGGGTACATCGTGGTGTCCATATGGAGGCAGGATAATGACAGCAGGTGTCATTTCTATAGTTCAGCTCATTGTAACGGACTTAAGTAATATAGCAGGTCGTCAATGATAAAACACATTGCGCTAACTGTGATATATATATATATACATACATGTTTATTTATTTAACTAAGTACATGTATATATATATATATGTACGACAAGTAATAACATGGTTATAATCTGTATATAAACCATGCGGGTGTTATTAGGTAATTTACGTATGCATGAGGATGTCTCCATCGTAAGTGGGTTAGGTACTTGTTACTTCTTAAGTTGGAACACTGATATTGACAAATTAGTTAATGCTTTCGTAAATTGATGCTGTTCTGGTTCACGTCTAAAGTCATCCAGCATCAGAGATGGAAGAAACTCTGAAGAAGCTCGCTACTCATGCTAACGAAACGTCTAATGGACGATTCTAGGTTTTATAACGATTTATTTCATCTTCACAATTATTTTTATATATCTAGGCATCTATTGCGATTTTCTCGATACATTTCCAAAGAAAATTAAAAGAAAATTCATTTTCTCTAATTGCATTCCTGTGTCCGAGACGTTACCAAAAGCTTTTGGTATTTACTAAAAGAAAGCTCTGCGTAAAGTGTACATTTTTTTGTTCTATTCAGTTACATATATGATTAAGTGTATACTTAATACCAATACTGATAGCAATAACGAAAGGACTTCGTTTATGTTAGTTTATAATTTTAATTTTTTGAAATTGTTGCTGCCATCTGTTCAATTCCAAACAAAACTAGCAGCTAAGTCAGAAATGCTTAAGAGAGACAGCTTTCAGATGTAAACACCTTGGTGAAGGTGAACTGCCTGTTGTGTTCGTCCACTAGGTACAGTTTTCCTCTAATAGATGTAGCGTAAGTTAAGTATACTTAAGAAGAAGTGACTTAAAAAGAACTTTTTTATGATGCAAATGCTGAAACGGGAAGGCGCTTGTGGAACCCGCGAAGATCTGGTCCAATATCTCAATACCTTAAAGTAATTTTTAATTTCTCTTAGTTAATTATTATTTTCCGATACTGTCTGTTTGTAAATATAATTATTCTTCTTTTTTTGACTCTCAGGAAGACGAAGAGATCACCTTTGTAGGTCTTTTCGTATTAAATTTGATTTTTCAAATATGATCCTTATTTAATCTGAGTTTGCAATCTGTATTTCTCAATTTAACACTCATGGAATTGATCAAATTTCAAACCAAATTCCACCCTTCTACAAAATATATTTCTACTCCTAACAGGTACGATTTTCAACAAAAACCCATCCCTCCTCAGAAAGAATTTAAGTAACTGGAAGCTACGACTTTAAGGGTGTTCTTTTTTGGCACTATTTTTCCTAAGAAGTTCTTCCAAGCTACTTTTCTGACTACAGTCATATTCCCTTGAAGTATTTCGAACATCCTGTAGGTAGGTACTATACACATCGAATCGTATGGTATAAATACATGTGAATACGTCGCCCCCATCGTGGTCGCCAACCGGCACAAATATGTGACATCTCATTCCCTTCCATTGCTACCACGATTCTTTTCCTCCTTCTACTTTTTCACCTGCATTACCTGTCGCGGACCGCGGTCGTAATTTGTTTCCGAGGCACCATCGAAGAACCATCGTCATCGGTCGTACCAGTGTTTGTTTGTTTGTTGCAACGACCAACAATCGCGCTCCCCCAGCAACCAACAACAATCGAATAAACCGAATTCTACTCACAAGTGCGACAAAAATCAAAACAATTGCTATCTCTCCGACAACGCAACGTCATAAAACAAGTCTTTCGGTTTTTATTTTTCGGGACAATTGTTGTTGGTTGATTTTCGGTTGTATCTCATCGTAGGAAGTTGGCCGAGAGAGTGCTAAGTGTGTTTTTGTTTAGTTGCGGAGATCGCGTTCAACAACCTGTGGTGGCAGAGGTGCCACCATATCGCTGGGCCGATGCCGTTTACGTAGGTGGCCAATGAAAAGTAACAGTAAATACGGTGGTTGGTACGTAATCATTTTCTTAAAGTAGTTACTGATTAGAACGTTTATGCTCTCCGGATGTTTCTGTCCGATTAGAGGGTAATTTGTTTTGTTACGTAATTGTAATTTGTATGTTCTAATGATTATTAGTGCTACTAACAAATGGGTCGTGGTTTTCTCACGGTGTTTTCTACCGTGTTGTTGGTTGTCGAGAAAGTTACGACAAACACCAATTTCGTGTTCATATAAAATACCACTAGCAGTATAAATAGTAATTAAGCAAATTGAATGGTGTTCTAAGATCAGCAAATGGGCTAATTCATATGCATGGAAGGAAAAGTAAATCATTTTTTCTTCTCCTGTTTCCCTACCTGGGAAATTAGCGATATGTCACATCGAGAATCGAAGATGTGTGTATTATTTTATGTGACAGATAATCATCACAGGGAAGCATCAAATACTTTCGCAAAAAAAGAATATATTTTCAGATAGACGTGATTGAAAAGTAGATTCCATATGGAGAGATGATATTCTGATTTGGGTCTAACGCTTACCAGCGTTTTGCTAGCATGAGTGGCGAGCATCTCCACCCAGCATCGAAAATGGAAAGATCTCTGAGGAAGCTTGCCACCCGTGCTAGGGAAATTGCTACTCCAACCGATGATGACCTTTAGACTCGAATCAAAAGAGTACCAGTCGACCAATTGGCGGCGAAAACCTTTAGCAATTATATTCCACATTATTATGAAAAAAAATGCCGATAATTTCTGTTCGGTAAATGTATTAACGTTTAAAAATATAATATTCGATTGGTATAACTTTTAACGTAAATGACAGGAAGTTTGCAGTAATCATGTGGGTACTTTTTGTGGGATAAAACATTAAAGGGCTAAAATTCTTTAATAATTTCAAGTATCTACAACTAATTCTATTTCCTTTTTGCTTCAAAGTTTTCAGGAAATTAACAAAAATGTCTTTTGATGAGATACGACGTCTAAAGATGTTCTATAAAAAAACTGCATTTGGTTTATCAATTAATGGTATAAAGCTCTAGAATTGCAACCAAAATTTTCCGTTGATCTTTTGTTTCTTATTTTCCAATTTACATAATAGAGAAATAACTTGTTTTTAGGAAATACAAGTTAAAGGTCAAACCAACGAAAATTATGCCATATCTACAAATACTTTTCAAGAGTTTTATATCTCAGATTCTCCAATTATTTGTTCAGGTATTTCGCTGTAAATCTGACCTAACCTAACCATATATTATTATAAAGAAAAGAAGTCTGTGATAGTATTCTATATTTTAAAATATCAAAATAATAATTGATAGTAATAACGTTAGATATGCCATGAAATTGGAACTGAATGCTCATTTATTATTGATATTATTCGATTATGCATTATACCAAAATTAAAGTCCTTCTAAATCCTTGAACCAGTTTGATTATTAAATTACATTCTACTGCAACAGCTACTAATACATAGAGGAAATTAATACTTATTACGGACTTTCAAAGTAATTCTTTATAGATTATTTATGTAAGATACAATAGTGCATTCGTTAAACCATATTTTTGCCTCATCAGAATAAAGAAGTAATCCACCTTATAAGCTTTTTTAAGAAGTACCAACAACTTGCCCATTTCCTTCACGGTGTACTTTTACTCTTCCTTTAATCCCTTACCTATAGATATTTTCTTGGATTTATACGAAAAACACTTGACTGTTGGTTGCAACGGTACATATTCTTTTATTGTTGTCAACGCCTTTTTGGTTTCCGCTTGGTTTAACAATCAAGTCAATTGAAGTCGCGCCTTTTTACGATTGTAGGAAGTACGTACATGTTTGAATTTGCATAGTTTTCGAAGGCTATGCTTTAACACTTAACTATACATATATATATGTATAAATCGATTAAACGGTAAAATGTTTAAATAATGCTTTTAACACTAAGTACATGTATATATATATATATGTACGACAAGTAATAACATGGTTATAATCTGTATATAAACCATGCGGGTGTTATTAGGTAATTTACGTATGCATGAGGATGTCTCCATCGTAAGTGGGTTAGGTACTTGTTACTTCTTAAGTTGGAACACTGATATTGACAAATTAGTTAATGCTTTCGTAAATTGATGCTGTTCTGGTTCACGTCTAAAGTCATCCAGCATCAGAGATGGAAGAAACTCTGAAGAAGCTCGCTACTCATGCTAACGAAACGTCTAATGGACGATTCTAGGTTTTATAACGATTTATTTCATCTTCACAATTATTTTTATATACCTAGGCATCTATTGCGATTTTCTCGATACATTTCCAAAGAAAATTAAAAGAAAATTCATTTTCTCTAATTGCATTCCTGTGTCCGAGACGTTACCAAAAGCTTTTGGTATTTAGTTTTGTGTAAAGTTTGCCTTTGCTTACTAAAGAAAGGTTTAAAGTGTCAACTCTCTATTATGAAACTCTTTATTAGATAAATCTCTCTATAAGGTTAACATTGCCTGTTTCACAACTAATTCTCATTTCCCCTTATAGTATTTGTAGATAATAAGTATTTCTTTCTGGTTTTTAGTACCGCAATCCTTTACAACATTTCTCGCATTTATATCTTTACAATTAATAGTCTCATTTAGTAGATCATTCAAACAAGAGCAGTTTATGCAATCAGAGAATCNATACATATATATATGTATAAATCGATTAAACGGTAAAATGTTTAAATAATGCTTTTAACACAATAGGTAGTAAACAATTAAATTTTATCGGGAAACCTTGACCAACACAAAATAGTACCTAACTTTCGGAATTTCCTTTTAACTTGGCTATCTAATAATATAATAACAATACTAATAATAGAACACGTGTAATTACATATAAATGCATTGTTACTAACAATTATTAACAGTGTTATGTCCAAATTAATTGTTTGATGACAATAACTGGAATTTTCACAACCACTTGTCGATAATTCTATGCCTAATTTGGACATTATCATCACAAATTACCTAAACCGTATGTAATTTCGATAAATACGAAGTCAATAGCTGTAAAATGAAATACAATATGTACAAAAATAGTAATATAAAGACATTTTGTAACAGGCACGATCTCACAACCTTTCTAAACAATATATTTGAGCAATTAATATTTAGTAAACATCCTGTCTCAATGTGGAAAAGGATCGGATTGTTTTTCGTGCAAATTTGGTGCATTAACCATGGCATTCTACGATGTTGTTCAACCGTGTAGTAGTTTTCTTTTCCAAGATAAAATTTCGAAAAATTAAGCCTATATAAAGTATTCCATTCTTGTTACTTTCATGCCATAACTTACATCGAACTTTCACTAATAAAAATCGACCACAAAATATAATAACTGCTCCGAAAAGAAGGAAAAATTGCATGCTTTATGATAAATATAAACAATTAGTACGAATATGGCAGTAATTACATTGTATGATACATCTTAAGTTTGTTAAACAAGAATTAAAGCGATTTATTAACTTTCTTTTTAACTTATGTGCTGCATCAATTGTTATCTTTAACACTAATCTGAAACAGCTGAAAATGTTAAAATGTGTAAGTTCAAATTAATTAATAGCTCGTAGTCCAATTATTATAATTATAAACCAAAATGTTTGAACGTTTTTAAGATAATTAATTCATTTACAGACACAAATCGAATACCAAATTGTCAGTCCCGAAGATTGCGGTTCAAACACCAGACAAAAATTAGTCTCAGATAAAATAGTCGTAAAAAACAATTTCAATAATAACGTCTAATTAAAATCATCTTATTACTATTTAATTACTGTCGGTGCAACACCTACAAGTATATATATATATCGTACTAATTTTTTAACGAAAAAAACATAAGACGAATGTGCTTCACAATTAAGTAATAACCGGTCTGTAGGGCGGATGCTTTCAAGTACATTCCAAAGCCAACATCGATTCTACACTACGGAAACTTTTTAAAAGCAATCTGTATGGCTTTCAACCGCATTATTATGAGTTAGCTTGTTGGTAAAAGCACATATCAAGTTGAATTACCACTAACCACTATGCCTGAAGGCATTTTCATTGCAAATTGCTTTAGTGGTTTCTTAGCTTTGGATATCCAGGGTGGCTCTCATTATTTCGGTTTTTACAAGCATGCAGCACGTAAATGATAGCAAATCTGCCAGTGAGGATTAATTGAGGCATTTATTTGTTGTGGTTACTGTAACGCTAGAATAAATTATCGTTCTATTTTCGGTACTATATAGAATTTCGATCTAGGCTGCTTATCTAAGGGTAATGAATTATACATAATTTGTGGAGGTTTTCCCTGTCGTGAAGAATAATTTGGAGGGGATTGACAAAGGAGAGAAACAACCAGGGTAAGGTTCACCTTATATGCAGCTTAACAGGGTTGTTTTGAATAAATGTGTATATTAGTTAGTTATACTTATATTGAAAAAGTGTTTAGCTTGCTACGATTTTAATTTATAAAACAATCGAACCATCAGGTAGGTGAAAACCGCGCAATCGATTTTCCAGCCCATTTGAATTTGTGCCACCCTGTATATGTAAATTGTACACGTCAAGACAGCCGAGAAATAGTCTTTGATCGTATTAATGTTTAAGCTTATGCCCAAGGTGGTCATCACCTCTCTCTCATTCGTGGAGGCATTACATACAAGGAAATGACATAGTAATAGCGATGGTATTTTGAATGCAAGAAATACACCGCTGTTTATGCTAATTAATCGAGCAACTGCAAAATATAAGCCCATTGCAGTTAAATTCGTCTAAATTTTGAATTGGGAAATACAAACTACCAAAACATATATTAAGAATAATAGTTAATGAACAGGAATCACATATCAAAACCATAAGCGTATTATTCAATTCACTACTTAATCGATCACCATGAAATTTTGTACATACATTGTCAAGGGTACAGAAAAGGACAAAGGGTACCTTTTATCCAAAAAAAATTTGTTCTCGAGGGATAGAAACACTGGTTTTATG